AAATAAATGAACTTCTTGTAAAAAATAATTTTTTATTTTGAAATATTTTCAGAATTTGAAAACAGTAGCAAGTGGCACAAAAATATTCCCATAGTATACAGTTCGTCCAGACTCCCTAGGCGGCTGTTAACATCTCATTTAGCAGAAGAATCCGCAGAACCCTGGCGGACACCTGCGAGCCCCGCTGTGCTTCCTGCACCTGGGTGTCCTGTCTCCTCCGGCAGCGCGCACTCCCGCCTGCCCCTCTCCCCGACCTTTCCAGGTGGTCGTGGCAGCCCCAGGCCCAGACCCTTCCTGGGCTGAGGACCCTCCTGAGGCCTTGGGGGGGGTGGGGGGTGGAGGCCCCCTGCCTTCTGCATCTCCTCCTCCTCCAGACCCTGCCCTTCTCAGACTGCCTCGAAGCCCTCCTTCCCTCTGGGCGTCCTCCCGAGGACTCTTTCGGCTCCAGCTTGCCACAGATCTCAGAAAACCCACTCGTCCTGACGCCTGGCCAGCTCGCTGTGGCTCTTGCACGCAGGCCTGGCTCCTCAGTGAATGCCACCCTAGTGCTACTGAGCTCTCGGAGTAACTAACCCCTTGGCCTCTTGCCCTGCCTCTCAGGCAGCCATCGAGACTTGCTGCCTTTACTTTGTCTTTTTTTGAACACGGTGCTACATCCAGCCCCTTTATTTATTTTTTTTTAAATTTCGAGACAGGGTTTCACTAATTGGTGAAGTTGCCTAGGTCAGTCTTGAACTGATGATCCTCCTGCCTCAGCCTCCCTGAGTGCTAGGGTTACAGGTGTGCATCACCCTGCCAGGCTTGGCTTTCCTTTTTTCATTCCCTTTTCTCCCCTTGGGTGCCACCATTGTGCAGGGTGTTTTCTGTCCTTGTCTCTATATCTGCTTTGGTGTCTTCATTCTGTTGTGTACTCTGCAGTTAGAAAGCTCATTAAAAGTTCAAACCTGATGGTGTTCTGCCTGTAATTACTGTATTATTTTCTGCTGCTCTTAGGATAAAGACAGCTCTCCCTATCGGGGCCTTCAGACCCTTTGGGGCTGGCACAGCCTCCCGTACCCAGTGTGTTACTGGGTTTTGGGGTGCTGAGGGTCTCCTTCTTGAGGTGCTTTTTGGTTCTTTCTGTCCCAAGCAAAGAGTTGATCAAGACAAGCACGAACAGTAGCAAAGTTTTGTTAAAGGAAGGAAAAGAAAGAAGCTCTAGTTGGGGTGAAGTGAAAGTAGGAGAAGAAGTGCACCCTGCAGCATGAGGGCGGCTCACCAAGCAAGAGGGAACACAGTGGCAAAAACTCAATGTGGCACCCTTTTTATCACCCGCTCCTCAGGCTGACGTCAGGTCTAGACATCCCATGAAAGTCTGCTCAGAGAAGTCCGCATGCAGGGCTTTGGGAGCTGTTCTGGGCATGCGTCCTGGGATTTGGCATTAGTAGGTCACGCTTACTTCCCCAGCTGGCTTTGGCACACCCTAGTCTCCTCACTCCTTGCCACTTTCTGCAGCAGCTCTACAAGTCCTCTTTCTGAGTGGCTTCAGTTGTGCCGTCACAGCTGCCTCCATGTCCTGAATCCACTCAAAACATGATGTATATACCTCACTTGGTCATTTTGACTTTGGGGAAGAGGCAGAAGTCCTGTGGTGCCAGACCTGGTGAGTAAGGTGCGTGAGGGCACAGCGTCCTGTTTTTACGAGCTGCCTTTCCTTTGGATAGCATTGGGCAGCAGCATTCACCATATTTTTGATCATGCCTTGTACAGACACTGAGGAAAGAAGACCTCAGAGCTGCTTCAGAAAGTTGTGAGGATGGTGGGATGCGTGTATTTCAAGTGGAGGAAGGGATTGGGGTGTTAATGGGAATGTGTGTTTAACTGTAATATAGTTCCCTGCCCTCCTTTCTTTCCTTCTATCCTTTTTTTTTTTTTTTTGCTTATTCTAGATTCTTTGATCTATATACAAATCTTTTGTTTGCTGTACATACGAGGTATGATCAAAATGTACTGTGAATATGTAAATTCTAAAAATATAATAAAAGACACGTTGCCGTGAGTCCTCCTTAAAGCCCCCCACGTTATTGGAAATGACAGGTCTTTATTGTGTATATACATCACATTTTCTTTACCTATTCATCAATAGAGGGACACTTAGGTTATTGTGAATAGTGAGTGTCGGAATAAACATTTTTCATTAGTTTTGAAAGTACATTTTTCTAGAGCTAGAATTCTCAGTTGACTGTGTTTTTTGTTTCATTACTTCATATCATTCCACTGCTCTCTGGGCTCCAAGGTTTCTTTTTTAAACATTTTTAAGTTAGTGTGTGTTTGTGAGACATGAGAATATATTCCTCATGGGTTTATGGTACATATATATGTTACATTTTGATTCTTTTTATTTCCCTTTCTTCTCACCTACCTCTGGTTTCCCCCCTCTTTCAAATCTCCATCCCAATTCCATAAAGTCCATCTCTCTCCTATCTTTCT